ACCCCCCCCCCCCCCTCTCCCCCTCTCTTTTCTGTTATCGTATAAACTTTATATCCAAATATTTAGTTTAAACATTCTTGAAAGAGTGGCCTTTCTATGTGTATATGATGTTCTTCACCTCACTCTAGTTCTTGCTTCAGTTACCACTTGATCGTTGACATTTTCTTAAGCGTATGTCATGCAACATAGTTATTTTTAAGTCTACATTTTTATCCTTTGTTGCTTTTGCAGGTATAGTGTTGTGTTTGGTCTTCAACGTCGTTGCTATAACTGTCAATTGGATAAGAGGCGGGGGTAATTACTTTACTACCAATTTTTGTTTTATGTAATGTTTTTACCTTAAGCTGCAACTAGTTTTTATTTTTTATTTTTTATTTTTATTGTTGTCACAACTTGCAGGTGTCGTAATCTTTTTCCTCGCTGTAATATATTCCATACTTGGGATTCCTCTTTCATATGTCCTGTGGTACAGACCTCTATACCGTGCTATGAGGTGAGATTGAATAGTCTTTATATTTCCTTTATTCGCTCGTTGTCATTGGGTTAAGAGGCTTCTTTTGTTATATTATTGTTTAATAACCTAAGATGCTATTTTTATATTTGCTCGTTGTCATTGTATCCATAGACAATTTGCTGAATGCTGATGGTATTTTGCGTTGCCCATTGTATTTAACTTGCAGGACGGATAGTGCCTTGAAGTTTGGTTGGTTCTTCATGTTCTACTTGGTATGAACAGTAAACACTTATCTTTCTTTCTCAAGATAAAGATCTTTTATATCCCTTATTTTATTTAGTAGTCAATTAACTGAGTTTCCACCACCGTACAGTTACATATCTTATTTTGCATTTTTGCTGCCATTGCGCCTCCGGTTGTGTTTCACGGGCAGTCATTGACGTAAGTTCATTGCCTGATTAATTTCATTTTTAAGCTTCTAATATGCTTCAACTTCAAAATGTTCATGAAATGAATTCTCATTCTACTGCCTACAAAAGTAGTAGCCCCTTTTATTATTTTTGTTGCGCCTTATTGCTTCCCCATACTGCTTGCATTGTGCTAAATAAATATATGTCCACATATTTTCAGGGGCATCTTAGCAGCAATTGACGTCTTCTCTGCGCATGTCTTGGTTGGGGTAAGTTTTGAATAGATAAGAACATACAACTACAAATTTCTTTATCTAAAAAGAGATTAGAATGGTGAACATACAAATTGGGTGCATATTTTTAACGCTTATGCTCTTTTAACTGCTGTACCAATAGAATCATTATTATTATTAACGCTTATGCTATTCCCAAGTTTGACTAACATTAAATTCCTATTATATCTTGCAGATATTCTACTTAATTGGATTTGGCTTTTTCTGCTTGGAATCGCTTCTTAGTTTGTGGGTCCTTCAGGTTAGAACACGAGCATCTTTATTATAATTCTAAACCAAATTTCAAACACAAAATCAAGCTTTTTCCCAAAATTTGCTTGGTTTTAATGATTTAGAGTTTTAGAGTTTAACTGTTCAACTCAATATAATTGGATTAATATGCCATGCATCATCTCATATCCTTGTATTACAGTTCCAAGCAACGATTTAAACCTTCTAAGCATTTACAAGTTTACAAATTCTCTGTATCTGACTAGTTTTTCCCTCTCTTTTTTGGCAGAAAATCTATTTGTACTTTAGGGGAAACAAGTGACTTGAGTGAGAGGAGATTACGCCACGGTTGCGACGACGTCGCAGCGGTTAAATTTTTAGGTTATCATATCTTGTGATGGTATTGTATTTTTTAGGATGTTGGTGATTTTTTTAAATGAGCTGAGAGTGAGATGTGGATTCTAAAGTTGATACTGTTGATGTGATATAAATATATAGTTTTGTGCCAATTTGTTATTATATTTTAGCATATGCTCGTTCTTAGGATGTGGAAAATTATCTAATTTAGCTGTCACAGTCGGTTATTAGAAAAATATAGTTTTTGGTTTGTCATACGACTAGCCTTTAACTTAGATCTTAGATTTTAATTGTATTTTAATTATTTTGAAATATGAATTAGTTTAGAATAATTTTGTAAATAATTCTAATTTTCTCTAATTTTGAAATAGAAATGCATTCTTTTTTGAGAAAAATTTGTACTCTTATTTAAGTTTCAAAAACAAAAGTAATTTGTTTAAAAATTATTATTATTATTATTATTATTATTACTTCCATTTAAGGTAATTTATATGAAATTATTCATGCGTTGGAACAAGGGAATGATGGATGTTGATTAGTACATTAACCTCAATATCCTCAAATAGTTGCCATTTTTAATATTTTAAATTAAAAATATTTTTTTTAAATAACAAAATTATTTTGTTGTATAATATTTAAAAGCAATTATAGCAGTTATTTTTCTAAATATCATAAAAAAAATGTTTTTCTAAATATCATTAAAAAAAATATTCAATCACCTCCTTAAAAAATATTAAGAATGTGAAATAGAATTTAGATCAGGGGTAACAAATATTAATGGATAGAATTTGGTGTAACAAATATTAACCGATTACGAATATTACGAATATATAAGATATATTTCATAACTAATTATTATAATATATTCTAATAAAAAAACAACCAAAAACTCAAATCACTAAAAATCAGTCTTACAGCTTTGAGAGAATAAGTTCTCCGAATAAGATTTCAAGTCCTCAGAAAGAAAACAACTTAACCCATCACATAAAAGAACTAAACTTCACAACTCGTCGTTCCGAAGAGCGAACGAATCCGTACCCTTTCGATGGTCAGTCTCATGCATGAAAGACAATGAAATGAAACTACAGAAACATTCATTGAGAAGATGAGAAATAATTACAATTAATCAAAGATAAACATAAAGTTTAGTTAAAGCAATTAGGTAAGAGGATCATAACTACATTGATTTATTTTTGTGTTCTAATGCTAAGGATCATAAGTATAGGCATAATGATGTGATGGATGTGGAGGATATACAAAATGAGTAGGGGACTGCGGATGATAAATATAATGAGGTGGGGACTCAGTATGATGAAGTTCATCCACTCTGTGTGGTGGTGAAGGAGAGCTCAGTTCACTCACTGAACTGTCATCATGAACTGGTGATTTTTGTTTCTCTACCTTAACCTCTGCTAACTCTTCTTCCTCAAAAGACCTGAAAATGGGATGCAAGTATGCGTCCGCTAAGAATGCTTTTACGTTCATGTCGGGTTCCGTGCTCTTCTCTAGTGTATCTCTATCCATCGCTTCCTGAAAAAGAAAAAAAACAATGAACGATAAGACTTTTGGAAGAACACTAATGATCACAAGTTATAATCGCACTCTCAAACTATAACAGCCCAAGCCCACCGCTTGCAGATATTATCCTCTTTGGACTTTTTTTTCGAGCTTCCTCTCAAGGTTTTTAAAACGCGTCTACTGGGGAGAAGTTTCTACACCCTTACCTTGAATGTTTCATTCTCCTCTCCAACCGACGTGGGATCTCACAATCCACCCCCTTTAGAGGCGCTTACCTTGAATGTTTCATTCCCCTCTCCAACCGATGTGGGATCTCACAATCTACCCCTTATGGAGGCCCAGCGTCCTCGCTAGCATACCACCTCGTGTCTGGCTCTGATACCATTTGTTACGGCCCAAGCCCACCGCTGCTAACAGATATTGTCCTCTTTGGGCTTTCCCTTTCGGACTTCCTCTCAAGGTTTTTAAAACGCGTCTGCGTCTGCTAGGGAGAGGTTTCCACACCCTTATAAAGAATGTTTTGTTCTCCTTCCCAACCAATCTCACACAAACTTTCAATTTGAGTAATATAATTAACCTCTCAACAGAAGTATCAAATACATGTCGGTTAAGATCCTTTTCAGCAACTAGATTTAAAGTAGACTTTACCTCGAGAGGGTATTTACGAAACGCGGGTTCGAACCGGTTCTTGCAGTACTTGTGGAAGAACAACGTCAATATCGGTAAGGCGACAAGCAGCGGAGTTGAATTGGCAGCCTTTTTTGTACTGAGCAAACCCAATAGAAGTAGTTGAGATATCAACAAGCTTGCTATGATGCGGCTGTGGACATGGGGCCAGAAGGCACCAACACTTTCATATTGCTGATTATATACATTGATGATCTGCACAAATTCATCCACATTTACAATATATGATTCAGTAAGAGGATCACGTAAATCTCCGCAAGTCAACCGTGTTCTTTTTCGATCACAACAACGAAATACTATACATAATATGTAACGAATAGTCATATAATCGAACCAAATGTCGGGTGTCAAACCTGATGGCGGTAAACCAAGTATGCAAATGCGAAGAAGACGAGTATAAACGGGAGAAGAATCGGGGTGACCACGGCATAAACAATTCCCAGTAGGAAGTACAGTTGTAAGCTCGGTAAAGTTTCGGGGAATTCGACACTTCCTGGGTCCATTGCCTTCTCTCTATCTCTATCAGTTTTCACTATGAACAGATTCTTGAGATGAAAGATGACCAGCGGTTTCAACCGAAGAATCTCGCTCGCTATTCCAGCCCACCCGTCAACCATTATGTAGGTAATGAAGAACGTAGCCTTCATTGGTATGGAAACTCCAATCGTTCGGGGAATTCTGCGAATCGATTCGACGAGAAACAAGTCAATTATGCATAATTAGAAGAATATGATTGAAGGATCATTGAATGTAGGGTGTGAAGCATTACTGGGTAGGAGATTGGTGAATGAAGGAATCCAGTTGCTCAAAAGCTGTACCAGTCACAATACTTCCCAAGAACACATTCACCAGCATGAAATAATAGTACTTAGCCGCGGCCCTTCGTTCGAGCATCGAAACCGCTACATGTCCCTCAATTTTCGACATGATCATTAGAACTGTTGGAAGTATATATAGAAAGATTTTGAGAGCCAAACCAGGAAGGAAACCCTGTAAAAATGACTTGACAAACTTCCTGTACAACATAACCATTCAATTCAAACAATCAATCTTTGAATATTTCACATCAGAAAGTAGTAATCAAATGGATCATGATCAAGGAAGTTGACTTACAATTCTATCACTGGCCTTAGGAACGGAGCAACTCGTTCGAGACCTTCCAGATTGGCTAGTGATTGTACGAAAGCAATTGGTATCATGTAGAAGAACACGAGAGCGAAAACCGACAAGGATATGACTAGTTTTCTGATGCTTAGAGAAACAAATGGTATCGCAAGGTTCTTCCAGTAAACATCACGAGGTTCCGGAGCCCAATTCGACAGCCATAACGTGGGATTCTTACTCTGTTGAGTCTGTGCACAAACTGCAGCGCCCCAACGAGTATTAAACGAAACGAAAGCAACTGGTAATATTTCTTTTGAATCTTTGATAACTTTCTGTCTCTCCAATGCCATCTAACACATGGGGATTCATAAACAAAAATGTAAGGAATTCAGTTCTTAAAATGTTGGAAAACTATTGAATCTGCTTTCGCGACTTACTCTAGCATCGAGATCCCTAATTTGTTGTTTGTAGTATTCGATAGAATCGACTCTGCTACCGCAAAGTCCGAAGCATCCTACCTGAAAAAAGAGTTCAAATGGTCAAAACTTGTCCATAACAACGTGCTTATAGGTTTGCAGTCGATGTGATTCACTGAGAAGTAAAAGATCGAATTCAAGTCGATCGATACCTTTCTAGTCGGTCTCTTGTCGGGATGTCTTTCAAACTTAAGTAGATTGTAGTCCAACCAATTCTGGAGCCTTGCTCTTTTTTTTGCTAGCTTAGCAAACTTGTTGGCATTATATATGGCCTAAAAACAAGAAATTGCTTAAAAAACAAATGTCCGATAGAGAAACCATGCACGGGACGCTGGGAATCATGTCCAGTTTGCTTACCTGATGAGAAAGATAATGTTCGGGATGATTTTTATGAAAGAACTGATCGACAGTATCCGAGGTCGAGCGACCAGAAACATGCGGCACGTTCCTAACCAACACCTGCAAAAGATTTAGGGACACTTTTGATTGAAATATGAATCTCTAATTCAAGTTCATGACATGTTCCACGACATTCAAAGAACAAATATCAAGCAATAAAGCTATTCACTCACGGTGAATTGCTCGGCACGTCTGCGTTGAGCTGCCAAGAAATTCATTCTCATTTGTGCAACATTGTCATATTCTTTGTAAAGCATGAAACAAATCCACAGAGTGAACAAATACTCCAATCCTATATGAACAAAAAACCTGAAACTCAAAGGTAACAAATGTTATGATTCTCTCTATTCTGCATTCTCGAACACGAAAATTGATAGTAAAGCTCAGGATTCGTCGTTCATGATGACAAGACGAGCTCACCTTATGGATTCGGGACTAACATTTGATATCGATAGCTTATCAATGTCACTTACAACCAATTCTTTCCTCAAGAAGAACAGTGTTCCACTAGACACATTGACTGGGATAAGAACAACAAGAGCAACAATGGCGATTGGGAAGAATATCTTCAACCTGCCATTAAGCATAGATGAGGAAAATCCTTAAGAACTTTCACTTGATGGCTTATAAAAGCAAAATCATTATGAACAGCAAAGAATCGCATACGAATAGCCAAAATTCCCAAACAGTAATGATTCACGGTGCAAAATACTGCTCAAATTCAAAATCAAAATCAAAATCAAGCCAAGAACAACAACAGAGAGAAAGAACACTATGAGAATCATCTACAAAAATTCACAAGAATCAGAAAATTGCACAAGAAATCAGCAAAAAGCGGCAAACTACAAACCCGAGAGTGTAAATTCTGAGAAAAACAGCAGAATCAAACCCAGCGTGACTAATAATTTCAGCCTCACTCATCTTCAAAGCCGCAGGCATCCAGTTCAAGAAAGTGAGATAAGTCAAAATGTTGAGATTAACATAT